GCTTCTTAACAGTAGGGCTTTTTTCTAAGGGTTTCTTTATCTTAACCAATGATACCATTATGTCCGACGCTTCGGTAATACTGAACTTTTTCATGCCCATTTTCTAATAAACCAGCTGCTGCTAATTGCAAATGGCAGAAGGAATCTTCAATTTCAGCTGGTTTCTATACTCTTCATGAGCTTTTGCACATTCTTCAAGCTGCTCAACACTTCTTCCTCCAAGTCATTCTAGCTTTCAACTATAACTTCCCTTTCAGACTAATTTCTTTTAAACTCTTAATGTAAATCAATGAGGTTGTTGCCTATATCTAGCGACTCAACATTAACAAATATTAGACATTTCTCAATTAAGAAACATTACGTGTTTAACACTTAAAAAAGTGTTTCTCCAATTGTTTTAATTAGAAGAATGTGCATGTAAAATACTGAGGGCTATGATGGTCTGTCCAACTGACCTGCAGCATCAGTTTTTCAGTTTCATTTTGCGGTGACCTCAGATGAAACCGTCTATGGGTTGAATCATTAACATAGAATTGATTGAGTGTTTTCAAAGTTTACCTTGAATTTCTGCAGCAGAGCAAGTTTAAACTAAAGTTTCATTTTGAGTTCTTCCACTTCCTGAAAATTTCAGGCGACAAAAAAATGCTCATCTATTAAATTCTTGGTGAAAAAAAGAACACAATGCATCAAAAAGTCTTCCTTTTAATAAAAGTACGTATTCAAACATTTTACTTCATTCATAGCTTCACTGTTGAGACAAATGGGGTTCTACTTGCCTCATTTGAACATTATAAAGAAATGTCTGATTTTTGGGATGTATGATCAGACAGTAATCATTGAAATCCAAAAAAAGTCCTATAAATAACTTCCATTTAAAAACACCAACAAACCCAGTCTGCAGTGGGTATGTGGGCCATCATGTACTTCGGCATCTGTGTAACAGCAGTGGGTAAATATGGGCAGAAAATCAATAAGGCCACTTTATCTGCACTCCTGTGAGTAGTAAAGCGCTGGCTGCTTATTTCCATGTTACTGATGTCTGTAGGAAAAACACCCGACTCTGTTCCCACCGGATCTGTTCCTCACTCACTCCATGCAGATTAAAACCATGATAACATCTATGGGAAGAAGCTAGCAGGCGTGTATTAGTACAGTAATAGCGTATCGTTTAATCCAAGTGTGCGTTTTGACCCACCTTTGACAAAGCAAGCTGGATAAAGTGACATGCATCAGATCACTTAACAGCAGGATTGCAACCAACATTAACCACAGGTTGGCAAATATTAGCTGAAGCCAGGCGGGGCTGGGTTTATTATCCAGCCTACAAGTCTGGCTTCGCTCCAGCCTTTGTTTGGGTCAGGCGGTGGAATGTTACAGTGATGATAAGCGCCCTTTAACTGCCACCAGGGCACATGTATTAGAACTAAACCGTATAATCGGACATATGAATCACCTCAGCATTACCCAGACGCTGTGATAAAGACTGCAATCTGATATGCTGTGCAGTTCTACTGGTCAACATCAGCAGAGGCTCAGAACCCACCTTTTGTTTTTTAAAGGGTCATGCTGTGAGTGTATACTCCAAGAGCAAGAACGTTTTTATTAAAGATTACCACATCATTGTTTGGTATTTTTGGGTTCAACCAATTATCTGTGCTTGGTTTGTTAGTAAATAAAGCCTTTTCTCTATATTTACAGCAACTAAGGGGCTGTTACCGGTAATTGATCTCACATTGGAGAAATTTACCTCTGCATTTAACCCAACTGCCATTGTGTGGCGCCCTGGGAGCAGTGTGGGGTTACGAGTCTTTGCTCAGAGACCCAGAGTGGCAGTCTGTGGGAGTGGAGCTCGAACTCAGAACCTCAGGATTCCCAGCTCTATGCCCCAACCACTAGGCCACCACTCCCCTAAAAGACCCAAAGTCACTGTCTGGACCAGGATTTGAACCCACGCCTCCTAATGGAGACCAGAAACCTCTAAGCTGGTAACGAGTGATACCTTGAGTCTGGTACCACTCGGCCATCCTGACTCTATACTCTATGGCTCTATGCTGCAAGATTCAGAATTACAATAGGATTATACCGATACTGACTTTTAATGAACATAATGGCCACAAAAACTCTCTTTTTATGTAAATTTCTATGATTATTTGCACATATACGAGGGGAAACATGAACCCTTCCGTTGGCTCGACTCATTGAGGTAAAGACTCGGTACACTACAGGATGGTTTGCCTCTATTCAAATGCCACTTCAAATATTGCAATCTGGTTTTCAGCTGTACTCTCAGGAGATGGCGCCACATTGTCTGCTCATCAAGCCAGGTACTGCAATTCTATTTAGGCTCAAAAATGACTTTCGAAACACTATCAGGACAGAAGCTTGGTGTCAATAACTTTATTTTATACAGATAAAAGGTTATTTTTGCTATTTTCTGTAGAGGTGTAAATGTGACTATGCCCCTTTAAATTTTACTGTTTGAGTTTTACTGCTTGATCAAACCTTTTCTTACATTTTACACAGCAAAATGAGTAATAAAATTAAGATTATCTGTGCCAAGGTCAATATCTGTATGAATCATTTCACAGAATATGTATTCAGGGTTTATACAGGAGTGATTAACTCAAATTTAATGCATTTTAATGCTCTTTTAATGCTGTTAGAAATAATTTTAATGCCATCAGCAAGTACCCATGGCTCTTACATACACACACACACACACACATATATATAGATACACACATATAACATATCTATAAAAAACGTGGCAAAATCCTTCATCATCTTTACCATCAAACGGCTGCAGCCAGGTCCCGAATTCCTCTCTTTCCAGCCACTTTTGTTAAAATTTGCATTTTCCCCCCATTCTCTAGCTTTTTCTCCACCTGAGGCTTCTTTTCCGAACACGATCAACCAGAAGCAGTTCCCCACAAACACACGGAACCAGTTATACCTGCTATATCTGACGAAATTGTTTTTATAAACTTTTTTTTTTTAAATAAAGCATTTGAAATGCCACGATAATCAAATTTAATTAACTGTAATGCCAATGAAGGCCTTAATTTTAAAAAATTATGATTTAATGACTTTTAATGACCCGTGAAAACCCTGGTATTGGTGAAAAAACATTGAGGCTGATACAATTGAACTGATTTTATGGTGATTTGTTTGCGTTAGTAAATAATATGTTGGAGGAGTGACTTTAAAGAAGTTCTGACACCAATTCTGAGGGATTTTCATCCAAACAGATGGACATCTTTAACAGACAGACGGTTCCTGCTGTTAGCGTTAAATGTCTGTCATATACTCAAGTAATGTTTATTTATATAGCACCTTTCACAGACATAGAGGTGACAAAGTGCTTCACAAAATTACAATACAATTAAAAATACATTTAAAGTCCCAAAAGGCATGGTTATAAAACATCCCTTAATCTACTAGAATTAAAATTCTTTCTTAAACTAATAGGTGTAAGATGTATGAAGACCTACAGGCTATGGTGGACAGAAAGCTGGTAAAAACCAAAAAGAATGAGGAAAATATTGACTATCTTCAGATCTTTAACGACAATGAAACTGTTTTTGATTAATCGATTGATTGATCTCACAGTAGAGAAATGTACTCGTTACATCAGCTCCAATATTCACAGGAGAAGAAAAAGGTGCCAAAAGAAGAAAAAGGTGCATGGGATATATACAGTATGATGTTTTTTCATAGCGGAATAACTATATAGGGTTATTGAATAGGGTGTTTACACATGTATTCTATATATAAACAAAACCCTTTCAAGTTTGTTTTTTTTTCTATTCATTTTCCACTCATTAATATTGAATTGTTTGTTATTGGTGTGCATGTTTTTTTAGATGTTTAATAGAAAGACATTTTTTGTTTTTCTGAGCCATAATCCAGCCCCACCCACCCGATAGCAAACTGAACGAAAATGTGATGCTTTGATAAAGACAGGAACAGATCCTGTTTGAGGAATGCAGGCAAACCAGCCATGTGAAGTGGAGGAAATGTGAGGGCCACACACTGACAGCTCCAACATGTTCAAACACAACCTGAGGGAACTGGTGCAGAGCAAACCCAAACAAGGAGTACTCACTCCTTTTCAGCAGTAAACCCCAAATGGAAACAGACACTTGTTAAAGAAAGTTTTTTTGTTTGTAAAGCAGCCTGTTCTGTTAGAACCATTGCTTTGACTCTGAACATAGCAGGAACCTGTTTCACCACATAGCAGACACCTGAGGCAAGTCCAACAGAGCCTCCCCCCCCACCCCAAAACCACAGCCAGCTGGATGCAACAGAAACTAAATCCACTCAGAGCACATTTCCTCTAGATAGTGCTTCAGCTGGATCACTTAAATCACCAAGATGCACCATTAAAGAGCATTTACATTAACCACTTTTAACATTGCAGCAGCAGATTCTGCTTTCAGGCTGAACTCTGGGGACACCCAGAAACCCTCACCCCCCATCAGCTGACAGCTTCCAGAAACCTTTCTGGGTCAGTGGATTCACCTCCTCATCCTGTCAGCCTTTAAGGCAAACCACGAAAGAGGAAGTTAACCTTTGCAGCCCAGAGGAGAACATGGAGTTTCCTTAGTTATCCCACAAAACTTTAGACCGAGTCAGCAAAGTCGGGAGGGAAATTAAACGAGAAATTAATTTTTTTTACTAATTTAGTTCAAGTTCACGGTGAATGAACCGACTTTCCAACTTAAATACAAATAAAAAGGCGCTAAATAGTCCAGGACATCCATGGATGAAGCTGGGAGCTCAGAGCTAGCTGGCTAGGCTACACAGCTAGCTGCAGGCTTTGCTAACTTTATCTATCGGCTTCCAGATGCGAATAATAAAATTATTAGGGCGCAGATAATTGCTTTCATTGTATGTCTATATTTTTTTCACTAGCCTTTTGGAGACTGTCTGGAGAAATAAAAAAGGAAGAAAAAAACAGAAGAGCGTGAAAACAAGCGCCACATCAGTGGAAAACTCACCCATTCCTGCCTGTCGGAGCGCCCCGCAGAGTCGGGAATCCTCCTAACGGCTAACAGCTACAGCCCAGGTAGACAGAGGCAGCCAGTGGGTGTTAGTAGAAATACCGCTGAAAACAAGCTAAAAGAGCCTTATATCCATCCGTCCCGTCGCCTCGGCAGCGCTCCTGTCCTCCCTGATTCCTCTCTCTTAAAGATTACGGTGCAGGAAGTTAGCCAGGAGTCGGAGTCTCCACCTTTCTTGGACGGAGCTGTGCCTGCTTCCTCCGCTCGCTGCTTTTCTCTCTCCTCCACAAACACAGAGGAGGCGGAAACTTCGCGAGGTTTCAGGGAGGGTGGGGGGGATTCCAGCGAGAATTAAATCCCCATCCTGCAGAGCATGTACAGTAGATGCAGACGCTGCGAGGGACAGATGGACATTTGATTCAGAGGCGGTCCAAAATCATATGAGGCCCTGGGATGGGGAGGGAGGGAGGGGGGCCTCTCTATGTAAATAATAAATGTTTGATAGCAGATATCCACTAATTGAAGGAAGATTATGGAGGAAAGCTACATTCTTTTAGCTAGATTTACACCATTAATCATTGTAGCACCAGGGGCAGAGCTAGATGGGGGGCCAGGGGTGGCTATTGCCACCATAAAGGTCGGATTACATATATCGAACGTCGCTTGTGTCCGCTCTTCTACATGGACCAGCTAGAAGGGCGAGGTGCGCGAGAAAGCTGGGAACCTATTTCCACCTGGATCCCCGCTCTTTTTCGCCCTCATGTCCCTCCATTATTGCACAAACTTGCCCTCACTTCCTCACTGCCTCTGCCGTATTTAGACCCACAGCTGGTTCCTGATTGTCCCTCTTGCGTTGTGGCATGGAATAACAGCGCAGAACACGCTTTAATATTGACAACCTCACTGCGACGCACTACTGACGGAGTATAACCAGCTCTTGAGACTTAGACAACTTTTACTATCATTTTTTTTATAAACAGTGTATACAAAACCAAATACATTAAGTACAGCTTTTCAGACAATAAATGATCATTTACATTCTATAAAGTGCAGCAGTGATCAAATATTAACAGTGTGGGAGAAAAAACATGGTGCAAAAAAAAAGAAACTAATTGGACTGGCATGGCTATCACGGCCCCTGCATAGTTAGGGACTAATTTCCCCCTGGGATCAGCTTCATAGTCATGGTAGAACACTTCTTTGACTTTATTTATTTTGCTCAGGCTACTCGTAAGTCCACAGCCTGCCAAATGTTGACATGGCAAAATTATTGCCATTACTGTTAATATATAGTAGAAATTTTACACATTCTGTAATAAAATGTCAGCGGGGACGGTATGGGGTGTGGTCATTTAAGAAGGGGGATGATATTTAAGATTTTTTAAAGAAAGAGGATCACATCCCCCCTCAACTCGACTACTGGCTGTAGCACACCATTTTTGGAGATTTTCAGGAAAGCTGTACAAACTCCTCTTACAGTCAAAACCCAATTTTTTGTGACTTATACATTAGCTGAAAAACAACTGCTGCTGTGACCGTGCAGATTAGCTGCTTAAAAGCCACTTTGTCTCCACTTTGAGCCAAAATAATCCCGCTATGCCTCAAATCACTGCTCAGAGGAAGTGGGCGTTTGTTTGTTATGCAGGCGCAACACGGTCAAGGTAGACGTACGGGACCATGATGTTAAAGAAAAACTTACATTTTAACAGTTTAAAGCTCAAAAATATTGATTTTGCATAACTGAGGCCCTTTAAGGAATATAACAGATTGAAATAATACTGCTGAAGTTAATTTTACAATATACCGTAAAACTAAATTTGGGATCGAAGACTTCCTTTCCTACCATGATAGAGTTCTAACTGTTGACCTTATCAAAGGTGAGGTAAAGGGGAGCTATGGTACTATCTGATGAATTCTTATACAACCTAGTGCACCTGTAAACCACCATGCTCTGTGTTTTGATAACTTCTGATGAATTACTCTTTTACACCAGCTGCTCTGGGTTTTTATGTTGACGCAAAACAAAGCATGCTCCCTAAACCTATTCTTGGACCTAACACCATGGAAGAGTCTCTTCGGAGCAACTTATTTCTCTGAATTTGATGTACGAGGTGCGGTTCAGTCCTGCCCCTGACCCACTTCCAGTTGTCTCATCTAGCTGCAATATTGTATGTGCAATTATTTATATCTCTATATATTAAGTCAAGTCTGAAGTGGAACCTGTTGAGTGTCGTGCAGTGATCAGTTTTTCTATGGCATTGTAAGGCCTTGTATAGCCTCATATGGCCGTATAAGGTCATATGATGGGGCATCATCACCACAAGTTACTTTCATTTCATCAAAAGTCTCCCATGGTGTGTGTCCTTTAAAATACACCAAACAGATCAGTGCTCAACCCTCGACAGGCTCCATTTCAGACTTGACTCCGTTCAAACACCTGTAAATCGCAAACCACTATTAGTTCGGAGCTGTAATTTGCCACTTAGTCTATAGAGATGAAAATAATTGCTCATGTAAAATTTTAGCTAGATGAGACAAATGGAAGTAGGTCAAGAAGACCACTGGATGACCCCTTACTAATAGTTTTGTTTTCTCTTTTTCATTTCTTCTCATGGAAAACATAAAGACCAACCCTGACAGCTGTTTTTAGACAAGACTACGTGTTTCTTTACATTTCTCTGTTTAATATTTCAATGTTTAAATAGTTTTACATCACTCAGAAAATCCCCTTTCTTAAAATGTAACAGCAACATTAAAGGTGTACTTCTTTGTGTTATTTTGAGTTTAATATTCAGTGTTAAAATTCAGCTGCTCTTGAAGGCCTCCTGCTTTTTTTGGTGACCATCAGCAGAGTCAACTGTTACTTATGCCTCGGCATGGCTTAGTCATTCACAAACAGCATCAGAAACTCGAACCCTTGGTAATAAGTCAGCTGGGACTATTTCATGACTAATGTAGCTTTATGGAGCCGATGCGTTACGTAACAGGCATGTCATGATTTACAGAGAAAAAGTAACGTCAGGCATCAGAAGATGGATGACAACATACACAATGTAAGTTTCTTTCTAGATCATTTTTCTGTGTTGGAAAACTTTAGCCGAAGGCCTCATATTTCAGACCTTTTTGTATACAAAGGTGCTCAGGTCCTGTTTTAACAACTCAACATACGAGCCCAGACCATCAACCCTCCACCATCATGCTTGTGACTGTTATGTTGTTAATTATGTAATGCAGGGACGGACAGTTATCTCCTCCTCATTGTTCTTCCTTGAAGTTTGTTCAGATGTCCTACAGAAGCACTCTTAAAGCAATCCTTCCAGAAAATAAGTCATCAGCTTTAAAACTTCACATGTAAACTAAGACTTGCAGAATCTGAAGGCTGATTTATACTCAGAAACCAGGTTGTCTGCATGTGTGTCGCAGTGAATGCAGATATGTCTCCGCCCCTTCCGCAGACAATTTGTTGCACCTCTCCAAAACTGTAGATGACCGCAGACAGGAGGCCTGTGATTGGTCAAATCTACATCCGCTCTACTCTATGCATATTTCCTGTTTGGTACCTTACCGGCTTGTTTTGTTTGTATGACCGCCATTGTGGAAAATGACTCGTGAAGATGGAGCAGCTGGAAGAGCGAGGTGTGCAAGAACGCTGGGACCCTTTACTTTTTTCGCCCTCATGTCCCTCCATTGTCGCACCAACTTGCCCCCACTTCCTCACCGCCTCGGTAATATCCAGACACACAGCTAGTTTTTGATTGTCCGTCTTGCGTTGTGGCGTGGAATAACATAGCGCAGAGCATGCTTCAATATTGGGTATCAATCAAAAATATCTGCGACAAGCTCACTGCGACACACTGCTGGGGGAGGGTAACCAGCCTTCACTCTTTCAACAGATTCTCTCAGTCTGACTTTATACGTTGCATCATCAGAAGATTGTGAAACTCTGTCGTAAAAGAAAATAAAGTTTGTAGTGTTTCTAAAATGTTATACTTTATATCGATCCCAAGGGAAATATTTAATACTCTATACCATTTTTGATACCAAAGGATAAAAAATGACTAATAATTAAAGGAATAGGAAACGGCAAAGGGGTCTTTTGCCTTTTGTGTCTCTGCTTCTGTCTCCTTGAACCCCAGTCGGCCTCGGCAGATGGCAGCTCACACTCAGCCTGGTTCTGCTGGAGGTTAAAAGGGAGTTTTTCCTCTCCACTGTCACTACAAGCATGCTTACAGTGAGGGATTGCCTTTGAGTCAATGAGTCAATGCAATCAACTGGTTTTCCTTAGATAAAAGACTTCAATCAATTTGACTGGATGATCTGGTGAACTGTAAAGGGCCTTGAGATGACATGTGTTGTGAATTGGTGCCATATAAATATTTTTATTTTATTAAACTGAAATATTTTTATCAACATGAATAACAAATTTTTTTAACAATAACGTTGTCTGGTGTGTTTTTCTTTTAATGAGCTAATAAGGAAGAAAAAAAATAACAAAATCAAAAATATTCAAACAGCACTTGTGTTTAGAGTCGATCCAGCGTTTGAGGATAGACACTTTTTACAGTATTGATATTTTTGACAACCCTTCTACCATCAGTTATCATACATCTTTTAGAAAAAGTATTCATCCCATTTGACTGTCTTTATTTTTCAGTATCTACTACCTACCATCAGCTTTACCTCACTTCCTGATTCTCCAAGTCTTTGCAGCATCAAAGAGTTTTTCTTTAAGGGTTTGGATGGATTAATCTATTTTTAACAAAAGCCTCCCCACAGCATGATGCAGCCATCACCACATTTCACCATCAAGACAGTTTTCTATTAAAAGTTTCCCATTTAAATAGGCTTTTATTTTTGAGTCTGTTTTCATCTGACCAGGGCACCTTCTTCTGCATGTTGCAGGTAAACTCATGTGGTTTTTCTCTTGCCACTCTTCCAAAAAGGCCCATATTTGTAGATTCAAAGACCAAACTTCAGCCTGGAATGTGTTTACCTTTTAGATAACCTCCATGGATTTTCGTTTTTTAGAGGAATAACAACAAAATGATCTGAATGTAAATCCAGGCCACACTTTTCTTTTATTAGAAACATTTTTTAAAGCCATTTATCATCTTTTATGTTTCTCAAAATTAGGTGCTACTATGTGCTGCTGTACTGTATACATCTCAATAAATGGATGAATAATAAATCAAAATATGTACTGATTCCTCATTTATTTGCTATTATGACTACATGTGAAAACGTTCCACATGTAACTTTTGCAGGGCATTCTATGTATATATGATG